CTCGAACTCCTGACCTCAGGTGATCCTCCTGCCTTGGCCTTCCAAAGTGCTGGGATTATAGGTGTGAGCCACCATGCCTGGCCCAGATATTTCTTTTTTTCTTTTTTCTTTTTTTTTTTGAGACGGAGTCTTGCTCTGTCACCCAGGCTGGAGGGCAGTGGCGCAATCTCGGCTCACTGCAAGCTCTGAGTCCCGGGTTCACGCTGTTCTCCTGCCTCAGCCTTCCAAGTAGCTAGGACTAAGGCGCCCGCCACCATGCCCAGCTAATTTTTTTGTATTTTTAGTAGAGACGGGGTTTCACCGTGGTAACCAAGATGGTCTCAATCTCCTGACCTTGTGATCCACTCGCCTTGGCCCAGATATTTCCTATAGGCCCAAATCAGAATAAAATACTAACTCTGGAGATGGCTAAACAAAACAATTTTCTTGTCAACGATACAAACAGGTAAGAGCAAGAGTCAGCAAACTATGGCACCACATCTTGCCGGTTGCCTGTATTTTTCCTGCCCATGAGCTAAGAATAGTCTTTACATTTTTAAATGGTTTTGTAAGTACCTATTACATATAGTTGTTCATTTGCTTTTTGGCCTGCAAAACCCAAAATTTTTACTATGTACGCTTTAAGGAAAAGCCTGCAGATTCTTGCTCAAGAGTAACCGCTAAGAATGGGCAATGGCGATTACATGGAGTTTTGTGTGATATGTCTATAAGGGCTCCCACACTAGAAAATTTACTAAGTGATTTAAGTTGTGTATACCCAAGTAGTGCTGAGAGAACAGGGGATGGATTGGTCAGACTGAACATGCTCACAAATAGCCCTGAGGAAACCCAAACCTTCTCAGTGAGGAAACTTTTAAGGCCAAATTTTACTCTATATTCTGGAAAAACAAATCAAATATGTGCCAGATTAGAATGCTATTTCAGGAAGTTAATTATGTACAGACAGCAAATTAAATACCTGGTCCCATTTGGTAAGTACAGAGGTAAGAAAGTCTTAAGAGATTAAAGCAAGAGGAAAACTGCTGCATTTGGGACTTGCTTTGGGCCTCAGCCCTCAAATTCTAGGAATAGGAAGGTCTCCATATGCACAGCTACCTCCTTAGCTCCCTGAACACAGAAAAATTGGGCACATCTCCCATATACTGTCAAATCCTCCCAAATGCCCAAGGCAGTTCCAGGATACGGTGAGAACACTGAAACAAAGCTTTCTAGAATATCACAGCACACTAAACAGTACCATAATAGCATCTTCCAAAGGAAGCTTGGTGAGCTCTGTTCCTTCATGGGGAAATAAATAGTCCTTGCCTGGCTGGAACCCTCTCCCTTAGCCCTTGTAGCAAATGCTTCTTTTCTCTTTCATGTGTATTAAAGTCAGAAACATACAAAGAAAATCTATACAACTTTATTTCCATAACTGGACTCACGTTGCAATATATTGCGTTGTTCTAGTTCTTCTGGTGTTGGTCTTTGACTCAGTCGCCTAAAAATGAGATAAGGGTAATGTTTATGTTGAACCTCCTAATCTTGTTTATAAAGATTTTTTTGGTCACAGTATATATTAGCCCCTATATAAGTAAGAAATCAACAAATTTTCAAACCAATATGTTTCACTTACGATTGTTTATAAAACAATTTCACATTAAAAGTGTTAACACAGATATCGCATTATAAAAAGGAACTATATATGCAAACAAGTGGCCAGGATTCTAGTTCTAGACCTTGATAAGAGCTATTAGCACAAAAAAGTTCAGTTAGACCTTGGCCAGGCGCAGTGGCTGTAGCTTGCAGTGAGCCGAGATCGTGCCACTGCACTCCAGCCTGGGTGACAGAGCAAGACTACATCTCAAAAAAAAAAGGTTCAGTTAGACCTTGAGTGTCCTCATCTCTGAAGCGAAGGTTTCAGATGGCTCCTAAACAAATTTGCTCCTTCAGAAGCGTTAGAGACTTTTTAGAAAACACAGATTCCCAAGAAACGTTAACAGAAATTCTGATTCAGAAAATCAGGATGAAAAATAAATTACATCTATCTAATATATAGATTTTTTTTTT